GTTGCAGTGCACTGGCTTCAGAGTGCAGGCTCCGCAGTTGCAGCACACAGGCTTAGTTGCTCCGGGGCGTGCGGAATCCTCCCGAAGCGGAGACTGAACCCACGTGCCCTGCATTGGCAGGTGGCCTCTCATCCGCTGCGCCAGGGAAGTCCTCTCAAGGATATCTTTTTATCAAACCCCCACTTATTCTCTCCACCACAAAATGTCAGCTTACCATCCAAGAATCATTAGTATGTGCCTTATTTTTAACTTCTGACATTCCCAGCCCTGCTTTCAAGAAGATGTGGTCTTTATGCCGTTCCCACTGGAGGCCTTTTAGCATCTTTGAACCAGATAGTTGACAGGCTGCGTGGCACAGTGATTAAGAACCCTAGAGTCAAATATCCTGGGTTCAAGTCCCAACTCTTTCATTCGCTACCTCTGTAACCTTGGGGATAGCTATGACCGTATGTCGCAGTTTTCTGTCTATTTTACAAGGATGATGGTGGTATCATTTTTTTTTTTACAGAATAATTGGGAGATTGAGTGAGTTAAAATGTTTACAAGTGTTTAAAACAGTGTCTGGCACTCAATAAACATTTGCTCTATTTTTCTATATGTCCTGTGGGAAATGCATCTCAAATGAAATTAATCTCTACTGACTTCTAAGGATATGTTTCAGTAGATAAGAGGGAAGGCGGGGGGGGGGGGGGGAAGCTCCAAATGACTATAAAATAGAAAAAGAATTCTAAAAATTGCCATCGAAAAGAGGAGAAACTGACAATGTCAGGCCTCCCTATGCACTGGGTCATGTTTTCACTTACCGCACAGGATGCGGTATTTACAGCTGCCCTCGGGAAAGACAGGGAAGGTTTAGAAACTTCATTTTACAGTTGAGCAGGGAAGCCATTTGCCATGGGTCACTCAACTAGTAAAGGGACATTCTGAAGTTGAAATCATGGTTTTCTGCCCGATATTTAGGGTGCAATTCGATGTGTTGTCTCCTGGTTAAAACAAACACATGAGAAATAAACAGCCAAAAATTCAGTTCCGCACAAACCACTTCTCAGCTGAATACAATTCCGTCGTCTTCCCTCTGCCACTTCGACCTCACCAGTGTGCCTGAGTTGCCAGGAACATCCGCAAGAGAAGCGCAGTGATTTGCCAGAGCTGGAGAATGACAGTGGACTATACAAAAAGTGGCTTTGGTGAAGACAGTCAAAGGAAGCTTGCAGCGGACACCGGAAAATTTTATTTTCCTTCTGAAGAGGGCAGTATGCAACCAAGGCCAGGTCTGCTCAAGTACTCAGGATTTCCTTCCAGGTCTTTAAGGCCGGAGGCTGGGCAGCCCTCAGGAGCCCAGGCAGCTTCGGTTTCCAAGAGCTTATTTCTGAACGACAAGCACATCTTCAGACATGAAATAGGATTCTTGAGGTTTGAGCACAGTTACACGCTGCCTTGTATCTGAGAGTACACAGTGCAAGCTGATACGAAGGAGGTTTTGCAAGATGGATGGAAGAAGCCCCAGTGAGTTCTTTTTCCATGTCCTTGCACTTGTCTGCCCCCCCCCCCAAATCAGCCTCTATGACATTAAGCAATAGCCCAGCATCCCAGATGGGTTTCTGATGTTTGCAGAAGAAGCTGTTGCTTTTCCTACTCAAACGTGTGGGCAACAGTAGTTTCTGCTGCCTAAAGCAAAATACCTTCTTGCAAATATCCTTTGCACAGAAATAAAATGTTGGGAATGGGGATCTTAGCTCCTGGGATGCATTTATCAAGCCAATCACAGTAATTATAATTAGAACACAAACTAAGTGAAAGCCTAGCATGAAATACATTTGCAGAAAACCTGAACTGCATACAATTAAGCCCTGCTTGGTGGCATTTTGAGGTTTGCCATTAATATATTTTAGGGGTGAGCAAGATTGATTTTTTTAAAAAAATATCTTTGGCTAGTTACGTCAAAGGCTTCAGTGAGAAAGAAGAATGCACATTATGAACTGCTCTAATGGAACTGTCAGATGTATGTCCAAGGTAGCTTAACTGGCTGTTTAAGACACCCTGTCCGGCTTCCCTGGTGGCTTGGTGGTAAAGAATCCGCCTGCCAATGCAGGGGACACGGGTTCGATTCCTGGTTCAGGAAGATCCCACATGCCGCGGAGCAACTAAGCCTGTGTGCCACAACTACTGAGTCAGAACACTAGAGCCCGTGAGCAGAAACTACTAAAGCCCGCACACCTAGAGCCTGTGATCTGCAGTGAGAGAAACCGCTGCAATGAGAAGACTGCGCACCACACTGGAGAGTAGCCCCTGCTCCCCGCAGCCAGAGAAGGACTGCGTGCAGCAACAAAGACCCAGCCCAGCCAAACTCAAAATAAATGCACAAATCTAAAAAGACAACCTTTCAAGTATGTTCTTTGGGCATTAATTTATCGAGGCCTGTTTTAGGGAAATGAAGACGAGAGTTGGCAATTTGAGGGGGATAATGTATAAAGAAAGCTGAACGCCAAAGAGCTGATGCTTTTGAACTGTGGTGTTGGAGAAAACTCTTGAGAGTCCCTTGGACTACAAGGAGATCCAACCAGTCCATCCTAAAGGAGATCAGTCCTGAATATTCACTGGAAGGACTGATGTTGAAACTCCAATACTTTGGCCACCTGATGCGAGAAGAACTGACTCATTGGAAAAGACCTTGATGCTGGGAAAGACTGAAGGCGAGAGGAGAAGGGGACAACAGAGGATGAGATTGTTGGATGACATCACCAGCTTGACGGACAAGAGTTTGAGTGAGCTCCGGGAGTTGGTGATGGACAGGGAAGCCTGGCATGCTACAGTCCATGGGGTTGCGAAGAGTTGGACACTACTGAGCAACTGAACTGAACTGAACTGAATATAGCTTCAGTTCCTAGCCTTGGTTTCGGAAATGAACTAAACCTACAAGGGCTGAAAAATCCCTCCATGGTTCCCTGTGGTCCAGAAAAGAAAATCCATTCCCTTCATTCAGGTGTCAGCTCTTTGATTGATAAAGTCCTGGCCATTTTCTCTTCCCCTAAACCTGGGCTCTCTCGGCGGTTGCAACAACTTATCTTTCTGATTTTTAACTTTATTTATTTATGTGGGCTTTCTCCCCTGCTAGACTATAACCTCCTGGAGGCAAAAGATTTCATCTTTTTAACTGGAGTCTCCAGCACTCAGCACAAGAGTCAGGACAGGATGAGCGCCCTTAGATTATATTTGGGGGAGGGGGTACCTTGGAGAATCTTCCCATTTGTCTTGGGATGGAAAGGAACAGAATAGTTTTTCCCCAATACTCTTCACATTTTTTAAAGTGTTTGCAATAATAGTAGATTCACATGCAGTTGTAAGGAATAATACACAGACATCCCATGCACTCTTCCCCTAGTTTCTCCTAATGTTGACAAGATCACAGCTCTGATCTTGACATGGATACAATTCACCCACCTAATTTGGAACTTTTAATATCTTGTATAAAACTTTAATATTTTATATTTTGAACTTTTATATTTCATATGCCCACGTGTGTGTCGTGTCCACTTTATATCTGTGAAAAGGTTTTTCCTACCTACTGAATACTGGGCATGGGTCCAGTCTGATCTAGCCCTGCACTGGAGTTGGACCCCACAGATACCGAATATGCTTGAATAGACAGATCTCTTGCATACAGTAGGTGCTCAACAATAGTCCGTATAAACACATGAACTTGAATGTGAGTGCGTGCAAGAGGGGACCCGCAAGGTTTTAAGGTAGAAAACTGAGCCTGAGGCATTTAATATTTTAGGGGCAAGACGTTGGTTATTTCCCCCCACAATTGTGAGTGAGCTGACTGGCTAGTTGCTCCAAAGCGATCCAGATGAACATGCCTCGATCGCGAAAGAGCACAGTTTTTGAGGTACACCCCTCCCTCCCGGCCACCGGCTGGGGAAGTGGGGGTAACTCTCATCAACCCTGGAGCTCCTCCCACCCCTAACCCCCACTTTCACCCCTTTCTTCTCTGGGGCTGGACTGTTTCACCCGGTCTCCAGGCAACCGCCAGGCGCGAGGCGGGACGTCATTTCCTGAAGAGCCCACGGGGGGGGGGGTGAGGGGGGAGTTAGAGAGGGGGAGGGGCAAGGGGCGGGGCCTAGGCTGGGCTGGCGACGGCGACGGCGACGGCGTCGGAACTCACTGGAAGATCGGCCCCGGGCGGCTTAACAGTTCTCAAAGTCCGGGCTCCCGGCCGCGCGGCTCCGTCTGCGCGCGGGCGGTGCAGGGGCGCAGGGGTCCCCGGGCTGCTTGCATCCCGGGGCTGCCTTGGACATGCCTCGCACCCCCTGCCGGACGCCCGCGCGGCTCCACCGGCTGCGATCCTGGAGACTCAGGGTGTAGAGCGCCGCCCATCCCAATTTATGACTCCGGGGTCCCCCAGCCCGAGAGGAACAGGCGTCCCGGCTGGGGGAGCCCCGGGTATGGTGTGACGGGGCGATCAGCTTTGCTGCGCCCCTCCTGCCGGCTGCGGCCACTCGGGGTCTCTGTGCCCTCCAGAATGTAGCTGTTCTCTCGTCCCCTCGGACTCTAGCCGCAGTCTCCGCGACCTCCGGGCTCCAGCAGCCAACTCCTCGTCCCTGGGGACCCCGCCGCCGTCTCCGCCGTGCCGGGACTCCAGCCGCTGTCTCCGCGTCCTCTAGACTCCAGCCGCCGTCTCTGCGCGCAGCCGACTCCAGTTTCGCTACCCCCTCTGTCTTCGCGCGCCCGGGAATCTAGCATTGGTCTCCGCGACCCTCCCCAGGATTAAGGCACCGTTTCCGTGCCCTGCAAACCTAGACTCCAGCCTTCTTCTCCAGGTCTTCCCGGATCCAGCCCCTGTCTCGGCATCCCCCCGGAGACCCCCCACCCCCAGCTCCCAGACCCAGACTCCCAGCAGCGATCTCCGCGCTCCCGGGATCCAGCTGTCGCGCCAGTGCCGGCGAGTGCCGCGGCTGTCCCACCGCGCGCGCAGATTCCGCCCGGGCCTCGGCGGGGAGATGAACGCGCCGCTGGACGGTCTGTCGGTGGGCTCGTCCTCCACCGGCTCGCTGGGCTCGGCGGCCGGGGCGGGCGGCGGCGGGGGCGCGGGGCTGCGACTGCTGTCTGCCAACGTGCGCCAGCTGCACCAGGCGCTGACCGCGCTGCTGAGCGAGGCGGAGCGGGAGCAGTTCACGCACTGCCTGAACGCCTACCACGCGCGCCGCAACGTCTTCGACCTGGTGCGCACCCTGCGCGTGCTGCTGGACAGTCCGGTCAAGCGGCGCCTGCTGCCGATGCTGCGGCTGGTCATCCCGCGCTCCGACCAGCTGCTCTTCGACCAGTATACGGCGGAGGGCCTCTACCTGCCCGCCACCACCCCCTACAGGCAACCCGCCTGGGGCGGCCCCGACGGCGCGGGGCCCGGGGAGGTGCGTCTGGTGAGCCTGCGGCGCGCCAAGGCCCACGAGGGTTTGGGCTTCAGCATCCGCGGGGGCTCGGAGCATGGCGTGGGCATCTATGTGTCGCTGGTGGAGCCGGGCTCTCTGGCTGAGAAGGAGGGGCTGAGAGTCGGGGACCAGATTCTGCGTGTCAACGACAAATCCCTGGCCCGAGTGACCCACGCTGAGGCCGTCAAGGTAGGGCTCTGGTTTGGGGTGAACTTCGGGGCAGAGTGGCAAAGCACTTCATATTAGTAGTAACTCCATGCTGTGTGTCTTTAGTCAAATCGCTTGACTTTTCTGGGCCCCGTTTTTCTTACAAGTATTTCTTTAAACACGAACATCTAATATTGTTTTTGAGCAAATAGATACCAGGCACTTGGGACATAGTGATGGGCGAAAAGACATGGATCCTGCCTTCATGGGGCATAAAGGCTAGTGTGCGGGAGACAGGCATTATCAAATGCTCCTGCAAAGGTATGATTCCCACAAAGTGGGAAAAGGATTCTTAAGAGCGTTGAAAGAGATCCTGTGTCTGCTTGGCATATGGTTAGTAATCAGTGGGCGAGCTCCCCTTCTGCTGTTGTTATTCTCATTATCCTAGAGGCTTTTGCTCCTGAAAGTTTTGTTAACTCCAGAGTGGTCCAAGGAGGCTGTACTGGTGACCCACAGAGCTCTGGCCTGACCTTGATGTTTATGGACCAGGCTGTGTATCCTGGGACAGGTTCCTCAGAACCTCTAGTTCTCCATTTGGACCATAACTGTCCCTAACCTTGATGGAAAGGGGGTGTTTGCCTGAATGTCAAGAATAAATCTCCCACCCCCTTGAGAGTAGTTGTGCTTTTTGTGTCTGTTAATTGAGAAAAATAACCTCATGACAACTAACTCTTAGGAATTTAACATGCTCTTTAAAAGGAATGTATATGTTTGCTAATCTCATGCCCAGGGATATTGAAATTCATTTGAGGTAGGAGTTGGGACAGTGTTTGGTTTACGTGTGGATTCAGGGATGCTTTGCAGGCGTATGCCCTGCGTGCATACACACACACACACACACACACACACACACACACACACACAAACACACACACCACCTTTGTGTCAAGAAGAGAAGAGTTTTGGGAAAAAGGAACAGTGACACAGTTTGCTTCTGCAAGGAAAATGCTTCCCAGGGGATGGGGCAGGCTTGTGACCCAGCTTCTCACCCCCCGTCCCTCACTCTGGTCTCTGGTCCCCTCCACGCAGGTGGTTTGGACTCCAGCGGAGGGACCGCAGGCTGATTAGTGACCTGTGACCAGGTGCCTCTCGAGCTCATTTCCTGACTGTTCACCTGGGACACAGCCACCCTCTGACCTTGGCTTCCCTCTGCTTCCTGACCTGTCTGACCCTCAGGGAGGCCCCGGAGGATTTTCGAAACTTCTCTGCTGCTCCCAGAAAAAGGCTGACGAGTTCACACTGTTCGGGGGTGCGGAGGATAAAGCTCCCTCTGGGTTTCCAGGCAAACGTCCTCCTGTCTCCTCCCCGCCCCCCAACAGTTCATCTCTTCCCATTATCTGACATTCCACGTATTTTAAAAAAAGAAATAGTCCATTAGCCTTTGATCCGGAAAGGTCTGGAGTTCCCAGATGACAAATTTTTACTTGAAAGATATTTGATCCAAATGGTCATTTATAAACGTGGATTCAATTTTAGTGGCAATTTAAAAGGATTTGGGTAGCTTAATCGTCAGGAGGTGATAGACTTGGGAAAGGCCTTAGGAAACCTGGGCATTAAAAACACCAAGTGCCCCTTCAGTTCCCACCCCAGACTCAGCCATACCTCTGAGGCTGGAGCTGCTCCAGAGTTTCCGTTCTGCCCTCCCCATCTGTCCATGGCGCTCTGCATCTTTTCCCCAAACCTCCCACCGCTACACCAAAGTGCTGCTGCCCGCGGGCACCAGGCCTTAGCTCGTGTGTTTATTCCTGTTGCCGCCAGAGTAAGACCTAAACTCACTGGGTACAGCTTTTGAAGCTCCAGAACTCTCCTTGCCGGAGGGAGGGGTTGATCGGAGCAGAACAGCCCTTGGACAGGTGGGAGCCAGTGGGAGCCAGGCAGTTCCTTGTTCTGTCACTTTTCCTGCGCAGGCTGGGGGAACACCATCCTCTCGGGTGACCTGCTTCCTCCTGGCCAACGCCAGACGTGTAACCTGCCTGGAACACGCCTCTTTGGACCCTTCAGAAGCAACAGGCAAATGGGCAGCTTTGTGTCACCTTAACTCCAGGGGCGAAACGGGGACGGACTTTCCACGGGTGGAATTTAAAACGGAGGAGGTGGAACCTCATCTCAGAGGCCTCAGGAGCCCTAGGCATGCAGGATGGGTGGGGGTTTCAGGGACAGTTTAGAACACGTGCAGCTATTGACACATTTCCACAAAATTCAGGGTGCCGTGTCCCCTTAACTGAAAGCCCAAAGAAGCCCCAGCTTCTCCACTAGGTACAAACTGCCCTTAACCAGGATTTCTGCACTGCCAGCCCCGCTTTAAAAGCTATGGTGCAGGGATTTTTAACTTCAGGTTTTATTCAAATGGCATCAGTGTTTCTGCTTCTGTCCTTTTCCTGTTCTATGATACCACGTTGCCTTTAGTAGGGGACATGTTTTCCTTTTTCCTCTTCAATTGTATTTATTTATTTTTTGCTTCCTCCCACAGTTTTACTGAGCTGTAACTAACTGACAAGTTAAAATTGTGTGTACTTAAGGTGTGTTGTTGCATGCTAAGTAATGTCCTACTCTTTATGACCCTATGTAGCCTGCCTGGCTCCTCTGTCCATGGGATTCTCCAGGCAGAAATACTGGAGTGGGTTATTTAAGGTATACAATGGGATACGGGATAGTTGATCACCTTTATATCGCAAAATGATGACCACAGTTAAGCTAATTCACATATCCATCACTTCACATGTTTATTTTATTTCTGAGGTAAGAACACTTAAAATGTAAACACTTAGAAAATTTTAAGAATACAATTTAGAATTATTATTAATAAATATGGTCACCTTGCTGTGCATTAGATCCCCAGAAGCTACTCATAACTGGAACTTTCTACCAATATCTCCCCTTTTCCACCAACCCTAGACCCTGGTAACTACCATCTTCCTCTCTGCTTTCGTGAGCTCAGTGTTTTTATATTCCATGCATAATTGAAATCATACAACATTTTCTGTGTCTGGCTTATTTTACTTAGTATAATGACCTCTAGGTTCATCTGTGTCGTCACAAATGGCAAGATTTCCTTTCTTAGTGGCTGAATAATATTCTGTTGTATGTAAATATATGCCACCTTTACCTTCTGTCTTCACCTGCCAATAGACACTTGGCTATTGAGGCGGTATGGCTTCAGTGTTAAAATCTTTATTCTTCTGCAGGTAGAAAGGGGGAAAAGATCCTCTGAGCTTCTCAAAGGAGAGATCGCACGCACGTGTATGTGTGTGTGTGTCAAAAGAAAATTAAATTTTAGAAATCAGGTTACTTAATAGTTTATGAATCAGAGAGGGTCACCTCCTCTCAGTCAACGGAGGATATTGAATATACAAAGGTTCTTCCACTTCTCTGTCTGACAAATCAAGTATCCATCGTTACAGCAAATTTAGGGAGGACTTTATCTTCTGTCTGCTGAAGCTCCCAGCCCTCTCTTGAAGCCTATTTGCTAAATCAGCAGTGACAGGCGCAGATAAGGCAAGCCATTTACTATTTGCAATTATGTTGAAACGTTGGGTTTTTGAAAAGTCTATCTTGAACGAACAGGAGCCAAGCCAAAGCTAACAAAAAAGAAGACCTTTCAAAGGTTTTCAGCCAAAAATGCTTGATAAATTGGCCAAGAAGTCCCCAGACCAAGGATGCTGTACTGGGCTCTGCTGCACATTTGCTGTGTGACTTTGGGCCAGTCGCTGACCCTCTCTGGTCCTGGGTGGATGAGCCAGGGGCTGCCCAAGGTCCCTTCCAGCTCAGACAATCTGTGATTTGCTTCATATGTAGCAAGAAGGCATTTAGAAGTCTAATTCGGTGGGGTTTTTTTTTGTTCTTTTGGAATTGCTTTCATTTAAGGCAGAGTAAAGGAAGTTGGCTAAGGATTGGGAGATAAGAATCTTGGCACTCTTGGGTAGCCTGTTACGAAATCAAAAAATTGGTGGGTTACACACTCTGCTGATAGGAACTTGACCACTCCCCTCAGCCCAAGAACACTAGCCCGTGTGACATTCCAGCGTACATAGAAAGCGACAATAGGACTGTGGCCCGCATAGCACCACCCTGGGAGTATTCAAAATCAAATTCACTCACCCGCTTGACTTGCCTTCTAAGTCCCTGATTCATGGGGTAGCAGAAAGGGAGGGGTATCTACATGTTACCGGGATGTGTGTATGAATGCCTGTGTTTCATCTCGATAAAAATCAGCTTCATTACAGTCTCTGAATTTCCACCCCCCCCTGACCCCACCGCTGGGGACATCCAAGGAACATATTAGAATTCGAAATGTTCCAGAAGTTTGAAACAGGGGCTGGCCCTTTCATTTAATTAGTTATCACACCCTCCCTTCCTTTGCATAATAACCCAGGGAGAATCTGCCCATGATAATATGTTATTGTATTTGGTCCGGCACATTCTAAACGACACATTTGTCATTTTCACATTATACACGGTTAGCTGAAGCCATGACAAATTATTACCGCTTCCAACTTGGTGTCTGAAACTCAGCTCCTCCTTCCCTATCTCATTCCTGTCTTCCAGTTTGGAAAACCCTGGCTAATGTGTTCATGGGGACACACAGACTTTCCTCTGGCCCTGCATTCATTCTTGGGTCCTCTGAGTCCTGCCAGCCATGACAGGTTGAAAGCTCACTATTAATAAAACCTTTATTGAATAGATGTTTGCTTGCTGGATCCAGAGTGTGATGCTGTACCTTAAGAGAGTCCATTTCTTTAATTTAACCTTGTATGTTTATTTGGCTCAAGTAGATCCTGAAGGTTTTAGAAAATGATGGTACCTTTCAACTGGTTATTTACTGTTCAAATCAAAGAAGCATTTTGCAGGGTAGAAGAGAGCACCTTTTTGTTTTTTTTTTAGAATTGTTATTTTTATAGTAGACAATTCCTGCCTCCTGACTTTAAGCTGGACAGGAAAGAGATATAGGAATCACTCCAGGGCTAGCTTCTCATTTCTCTGTC